TGAGACTGGAATCAATTTTTCTTGCATGCTTTGCAGCACAATTGTAATTTTTTCCTTTGATGTTTCCAATCCTTTCTACACATTTCATAGGCTTTACTACTACATTTAACTTCATCTAGTTTATATTAAAGTATCCATGTTCACATTACATGTACATCATCTTCTTAATAACTAAAGACCGGAATTAAAAAATAGTCATAATAAAAATTTCAGAACCTGGTGTGGACTTTTCTGTCCTCCCCATGGCTTCCATGTGTTCCTGCAGTTTCTCACTCACTTTCAAGACAGGCAGATGAAAATGCCCAGTAAGGCAGCAACACGCAACGCCTGTTCAACTAGAGCAAAGAAGGACAGCAACTAAGCTCTTCTACTCATTCTCGTTTTCAAAAAGGAAGGGGCTTATTGGGTACAAACCCACAAGAAGAGACCAGGTTAGTGCCTGGGAACAGTCAGAGAACAGAGTATCTAGGGACCAAAGAGAAAAAAGGAGTGAGAAAGAGAAGAAAAATCTGGTTCCTCTCCAAAGTCATTCTTCTATGACCTCTTGTGACCTGAACAGTTGGGCTCCTGAACAGCATTCGTATCCGAACCATTCTACAACTGATGAAAGCTCATTTGCAAATCAAACTGGACAATATCAAAACGTGTTATTTTTCATTTACTAATTTTGCTACCATTATTTCTAGAGCAATCTAATTTCTGGCATGAGAAAAGAAGATATTACTTTAGTAGAAAGCATATAACAATAAAACGCCGATTAGAGAAAGACTCCTTAGTCTTAATGGAGCCAGAAACAACTACAGAAGCACACTCTATTATAAACTGTAATTATATTGCTTCTTAAAAACAAGAAATAACAATATCTCAAAATGAAATATGTACTGTACTCTAATAATTGTGAAAAAAAGTCATTTTTCTCCTGACCTAAAAAAAAAAAAATCAGACAATCCACTCAAAGGATTGGTTCAAATCAACTCATAAAACATTCGTGTCGAGGACAAATTGGCAAGAGCCATGTAAGAGACTTGTTTATTGAAAATGAACAAGAGTTAAAGGGATTCCTTTTAGTTTGATTACACACCAAAAAAAAAATGTAAAAAAATACTGTAAGATAAAATCAGACAGTTTGACAAATTCGCTATTTTCAAATAATCTCTTTTTTACTACAAGCACCTTTGCAACAGGCTTAAACAATCTGTGCTACAAACAATCTATTATTAAGCAAGAATAACTATTTTTTTCACCTTACGTGTGCAGGAAATGTTAACATTTACCTATGCACGTAACGCATACTCAGTTTAAATTTTATGTCTTTATGTGCAGGAACAATTCAGGTGGTCAAGTTTCATTCCCTCTGTATTTATTCTCAGCGAAATTGCAGCTTGTCTCAATACATAAAACATGCACGTCAGAGATTTATTTTTGCTCTGGCATGTCTCACTGGAGGTAGACTCACTAAGAATGTAAAATATCTAAAGGCAGAAGGGCATCTGTTTTTCAAACTGCATTCATTTCCCTTAGTATTATAACTAGCCTAAGACCCTTGGACGTAACTCAATGGCAATAAACAGAAGTAATTTTCTAGAGATCAAAGGACAAACAAGGATATTATTTTCTCTCTTTTTTTGATCACTGATCTAAAACTAATGTTTTTTGAGGAAAAAAGTAAAGCATATTGAGTAATTTAGTGATCAGTTAAATATCTTTTCAACAATCTTTTATAGATGATTTGAGCAGTCAGCTTCTTACAACTACTAGAGTTAGAAAGATTAATGTTCTGGACCACTTTAAAGCTGGCACTCTAATTCTTCTTACAGTATAAACACTCATTTCCTATCCTGTTAATATGTGATTGATGCTGAGCTACTCTAAACAAATTCTGTACCATACTATCCAATTAATATTTTCTACAGTTCAGAAATAGATGATTTAAAATGTGACATAACATGCTTGCAATTCATGAAGCTATGGAAATATTATTCCTTGAGACACAGTATCAACCTCTTTATATTTCTGAATAAGCAATGGCACTAAAGCAAGTGTCTCACTCCACATAAGTGATTTAGTCATTGTGTTGTATTTAATCATTAATGCATTACAGCAGCAGGCCATGCTTAGCATGTTCAAGTGAACACGTTATACTGAGAGGGTGCTGAATTACTGCAGCAGTGCAAGTGGGCTTAGCAACTGATGGTCACCAAGCAGCTGTTGGAAGGCACTTCTTGGAGGTCCAGTGTCAGATGTAGCAGGCTGCCCAGGGCCATCTCCAGTTCAGTGCTGAGCATCTCCAAGGATGGAGACTCCACAACTGCTCTGAGCAACCTGCTCCAATGTTGAACCATCCTCACAGTGAAAAAAGTTTCTCTTATGTTCAGATGGTATTTTCTGTGTTTCAGTTTGTGCTGAGACAGTGAATAGGCACATTAGAAGTGAATGCATAAGGTGCAGGAAAGGTGAAGATAGGTGGTAATATTGCAATACACACATAAGCAAGTCAGTATGTAATAGAAAGTTATGACCCCCTTGTCTACTAAAGCCCTCCCCTCAGCTTTTAAAACATTTCTAGAAAACAAACTATGCTAGGATGGTTGTCTTTAAACACCTGCATACAAAGAGCTATGCTTTATAGGTGTTACATCTTGGAGCAGCAGTAGTTCATTGGGACTGCCATGACAAAGTGACCATCCTCATGAACAGAATCCTCAACGACAAGACAATCAAATCTCATTTGTACAGGCATGGAAAAAATTCTCAATCATTCTCACGTTTCCATACATACATAACAGAAAGGCCGTATTCACAACTACAGATATGGGAATAAGACACTATTAAAACAAGCGTCATTGTTAGGTGGTGTTTTTTCCTTGCAGATACACTGTTTTTCTTCCTCACAAATATTCTTACATTTGTGGGACATTTATACCTTTTGGTTCCAGAATGAAGTATTCACTGTGTCTGTGCAATGTCTCAGGAAATCTAGAACTGTGGTGAGTGTTGGCCAAGATCCCAGATAACTTGTCTTCTTTTTTCCTTAGAAAAATCTTCCATACAAACAAATTAAGTGATTTTGTCATTATTGAGTTTCAGTCTGGGACTGGTACAAAATACAGATGAGCTAGGAAGGCCATGACCCATTTGCAAAGGTATTTTTTATTTTCAAGGCAGATAACTGCTTTTGACACTGATTCACTTTTGGGAAAGCAAAGGCAATGTCGTAATTTTGTTTTAAAGACTGATTCAGTGGACAGGTCTGCAACAAGGATTTGTGCTGTACCTTGAGTCATAGTAAGTAGCTGCACCTCCAGCAGAAGTACAAGATTAATAAAATAAGCACCAACCATATCTGCTCTGCAAAAAAAAAGTAGGAACATTGCCAGTATTTTTCTACTAGATGCCTACATATTACTTTACCTATAAAAAGAAAGTGAGCATCACTTAACCTGTGACTGACAGGTAGAAAATGAGGTACTACTGTTTTATGCTTATTAAATTGTTAAATTCCACAACAACTTGCTTGTTTGGTGGGAAGCTGTTGCAAAAAAAAAAAAACCCAGCACTTGCAACAAGAAAGCAGTGACATGCCTATGTACAAGTATAGTTTTGAGTTTGTATTTGTAATTCTAGAAAAAAAGGAAATATCAGCAAGCTGTCACCCTAGAATATTTATAAAGGTCACAGAGCAGACAAAGGCAGCAGAATCAACACCTACTCACAAAAGTCATTACCCTTGTGTTTCATAATATAAATAAAATATACCAAAGAGATCATAAAGGCTAGTAAACAGTCACGACCATCAGTGCTTCATGCCATATTCCCCACATCCTGAGGATCTAGGGCTCTGGCCCTTAGAATGTATGCATGGTTTGTGCTAACATCTGTGAATTAATGAATGTCAACACAAGAGCCCAGCATAACTTTCAAGCTTGCCTACAGATACCTCTACACACCCAGATTCAAGATCCACCACCTTCACTTTACCTAGCTGTTAGGGACAAGCCTGCTCTGGAAACTGTACATTCATAGTAAACAATCCATCTTGCACTCTTACACTGGGCCTTCTACCGAGTGCCAGCTCCTGGGCCCAAAACACCGGTTTCCTTCTCAACAGGTCAGTAGCAATTAAAATGCTGTCTCCTTGCAATATTTATTGCTTGTGAGCTTGTGTAGCAGCAAGAAATCAGGAACAGAGAATGACAAGTAAGGAGAAAGTGGCCAACACACTGATTTTCAAGGCACAACATACCAAACGTATTTTTAACTTCCTAGCCAGGAATTATCCAGTGGGCCTAGTTGGGTTTGTTTTTTTTTAACTTCAGAGCAGATTAATATCATTTTTTGCTAAATAACTCCCCTGTGATACACGGCGATTTCTGTTTCAGGATAAGACTCATGTCCAGGTTACATGGCCCAGCTGCAGCAGATCACAAGAGCACTAACAGCAGGAAAGGTTCCCTTACATCCCTCAGCTTGGTTAGAGCAGTGTGGGGAACACCTGGGGGGCTGGGAGAGGACATCTCCACACCGGGCTCTCCCACAGAGCAGGCCTCAACCCCAGCTGCTGAAATTATAAACAGAGCGCGGGTTTTTGGACCACTGAAGAGAAGTAAACCGATTTAAAGGCAGCGAAGTTATTCAAAGGCGCACCCTAGGCCGGTGAACCTGTGCTCGGTGGGGAGCCGGGCAGGGTGACCTGCCCTCACCTCAGGACGCCGCGGGGGGACGAGGGGCAGGGAAGGGCACCCGGGGCCGAGCTCTCCACAGCTCCTCCGCCTCCCGCTGCCCGCCTTCCGCCGCCGCCCCTCCCCGGGGAAGCCTGGCCGGCTGCCTCCCCCGGCGCCCCAGCCGCGTCCGGATAGGTCACCCCGGGAGAAGGGCTTGAGGCCGCCAGGCTTTGGCTCCGCACCCCAACGGGCCCGCTCCTGCTCTCGGGCCGTGGCCCGGAGCCCAAGGCCGGACGCGAAGCGCAGCGCGGCCCGGTCCCGCCCGCCCCCGCCCCTCACCGGCCAGCTGAGTCACGAAGGCCTCCGCCACCAGCGACATGTCGCCGAGGGAGGCAGGCGACAGGCCCAGGGCACGCGCAGGAACTGGGGGCCGCGTCGCCGGGGCAGCAACTGCATCCGGGTCCCGCTCCGCCCCCGCCGCCGGGGCGGGGCCTCTGCCGGGCCAGCCGCGCGCCGGCGGTCGGGGTGAGGGGGGGTGAGGGGAGGTAGGGGGAGGCGGCGGGAAGGGGGCCTTCCCCCGGTGACAGCGGGCTGCGGAGGGGTGCCCCGGCAGGCACCCGCGAATACACCGGGAATTTGGGATCTTTGTGTCGCCGTCTCCTCCGTTACCTCCAGCCTGGGGATGAGACCCCGTGAATTCACGCACCGTGGGGTCACGGTTGGAGAAACCCACCACAACACACACCAACCAAAGGACAACAGTCGTTTAGACAGTTGTTTAAACAGTTACACTCAGCCCGTTCTATCAGCAGGAAGCCACACGCTCCTGGTGAATGTGGGTCGCTGCGAGCGCTAGGGCTTGGGAAGGCAGGGAAGGGCTCGGGGGGCTGGCACCGGGGCAAGCAGACCACCGCCATCAAGGGAGAGAGAGCGCTACACAGCAAACTTTATAATTCATATTGAATGTGACGTTTGTGGTATGAAATAGTCCTGTTGGCCAGCTTGGGTCTTGCTCAAGCGCCTAGGTCTTGCTCCTTCTCATCCTCACACCTGGCAAGGCTCGGAAACGCTGAGACCTTAGCCTAGCTGTCTGTAAAGTAAATATTTTCACGAATTCAGACACTAGAGTCTTCTAAAAGTGCAGTTTTCCCAAGCATTAGAAGAGAAATTAGTCCTGTGTTACTCAAACCAGGACCCATGGAAACATTATAGGACTCAAAGGCATCATTAGGTGGGCTGTAATAATTAACTTGGAAATATAATTGCAATGGGAGTGAAAAAAAAAAAAAGCCTGTCAAAATGATAGCAAGAAACAGCAGCCAATATTGTGATAGATGAGAATATTGGTGTTTGGAATGGGGTCGCGGGGTGACAGGCACAGCCCCAGGCAGCGAGCAGGGGTGAAGGCCATGCCCAGGGAGCCATGGCATCTCTCACAGCCGGTGCCAAACCCTTCAGCAGCATCAGCGTAGCTGGCTTCTGAAATACTGCCGGCGCTTCAGCTTTATGCTGGTAGGAAAATTAAATATGTCGGCTATGGTCCTACAGAGAGGAGTCGGGGGCAAGGCTGCACTGGACCAGCAGAGAAGCATTAAAAAAAAAAAAAAAAAAGCCATTTAAAAATACTGTGGTTCAGGCAAAGTCCCCAGTCATGGCAATTTCTACTGCTGATGGAAAGTCAGTACAACATGCTCCACATGACAGGCAGAGGGGGTATATCTTAAGGAGCTGTAAGATGCGAGTTCAGACTATTTTACATTTCTTTTTGATGAAAGAATCCCAACAGGTGGGTTTTGGAGTTGGGAGGGTGGTGTTTGTTTTTATTTCTAAAGTCAGCGTAGAAAGAGCTATTGAGAGTGCTGTAACCAGCTCTAGGATCTCCAGAAATGGAGGTGGATGATCCAAAGTAAGACAGGGGACAGAAATTAGGAAGTAATCCAGCAAGTATCAACAAACACATACCAACAGAAATCTATCAACAAATCCAACCAGTTAGCCAAAACTGGAGGAAAAGTGAGTGGAGCTCAGGCCACGTGACAGGGCACAGGTGCTCGGTCTCACTTCTCTGGGACAGGAGATCGGGGAAGCGTTCTTTGTTTCTGCATTCCCAGTCTTCCTCCCTGCTCCCACTGAAAGAACTGTTTTAACAGAGCAACTTGTAGGAAATACTCCCAGGAGATCTCCAGTGATGATAGATAGTAGCAATGAAACTGACTCCATCACCACCTTCACCTTTACTTGATATGCCTCTCTCCGCAGCTTTTTGAGGAAAGGCATGGCTCTTGTGAGCCTGGCTTCCTGCAGGGCCTGCGTGCGAATCGTTTCTTCAGCTGGCCCCACCATTGACAAATGTCTTTCTAGTAATTCTTGATCCACACCATGGAATGCTTCCCAGCTTTTACAGGTTTTAAAGGCATAACAGCAGATCCAAGGCACTAGTCCCTCTGATTTCAGCGTGGAGAGAAGGATGCACTTTCAGATAGGATTTCAAGGGAAATCAAAAGGCAGAATTAGGCAGCCCCTTGGGCTTTGCATTTCAGAAAGTCAACTGGAGCAGATCTAGCAGAACCGCTACCCCTTAATAAGGGTCTCACCGTACAGAGGCATACCCAAAAGATGGAGAGTACAGTTTTTTCACAGCCCATCTCTCCACATGGGCTGCCTTTACCAGGTAAGGTATTAATTGCTAGAGCTAAGCTGTTCTCTGGAGAAACAGGACTAGACCATATATACACATGCTCCATTTTAAATAAAATAGAATTTGAATAGGATTACTCTAACTAGAAAAAAAAAAAGAAGACTGTTCTTGTAAGTTCCCTTAATATTGTTTAGACATCTTTTAACAAATATGTTTAATTTGTATTGTTCTTTTTTTCATGTCAATATTTAATAAAATGTATGGCTATAAATAGTGTATATCTGTGCCTACAGTGTAAGTCCTTTGCAGATAGAATTATTAGGAATATTTTTACAAGAGGAATTGGGAGGTGGCAATGAAAGACTTTTGATCTCCTGCGTTTTCTTCAGCTGTTTGCTTTTTAACACATCCAGTATTGCTGGCCATTCAAATTACAGTGCAGCTGACCTAGTGTATGCCAGGGCTTAAGATCAAACAAATCACCAGAAAGCAGAGGCATTTGATTGAGTTTCTCCAAATTTGAGTTCTGCTCAGTCTCACATGCAGTTCTCAAGTTCATGAAGCACATCGTAGGCTAAGTCAAATTTAAGGTGAATACAACGGTAGTGTGTGCCAAACACTGATAGCAAACATTCCTCCTCAGAGCACTGTTGAGATGGTAGAGGACACCATCGCAGGGAAGCATTCAAGGCCAGGCTGGATGGGGCTTTGAGCCACCTGGTCTAGTGGGAGGTGTCCCTGCCCATGGCAGGGCGGGTGGAACTAAATGATCTTTAAGGTCCCTTCCAACCTAAACCATTCTATGATTCTATAGCACTGCAAAGTTGTTCTGTGTTGCAGAATGACCTTTCTTCATCCCAAGACAACCAGCTGGGGCCACATGCTGCTCAGCAAACCTCATCAGGGCACTTAGCACACGACTGAGGACCCTGCCCAAACTGCTGCTCTCCATTTCCATGGAGCAGGTCTCTAACAAGCCAGGCCTTTCTAAGACACAAGAGGAGTGCTGACAGTCGTAGATTCAATTAGGAATGGTTCTCTCTGAAAGAGAACTGTGCGGAAATTTTGCTGATGAGTGAAACCTCTGAAGACTGCTTGTGTGGCACAGGTGGCATTTGAGAATAAGCCAAGTGGTAGCAAGAGGCAGCAAACAAACCAGCACTGAAATGCCTTGTCCTTGCCTGGCCCACAGTCAGGCTGCCCCTCTGGTGTAACTTAGGGCATCCTGGGGGCTGCTCTGCATTATGCTGCCTGTCAGTGTCTTTAAAAAGCTATTATGGCTGCTGGAAATCTCTGCAATGAAGGAAGACTTGAGTAAGTCCTTCCCTGCCAACACATCCAGTGCCAGGCAGCAGCAGGAGGGTGTTTTTAGCATGACTTCATGCCAGAGGTTCTCTGTACACTAAACAGTCTGGCAAAGTACACAGAGCAACAGAAACAGATGGATCTGGACTAGCGTGATCGAATGGATCTCGCAGGGCATTTGGTATATCTTTAATGCAAGTGTTTGCCTATCAGCCCTTTCATGCAATCCACTGTTCTTCAGCCTGAGGAACAGTGTCAAAACTGCCCGAGTTGCAAGTTTTTCAGTTACGCACACAGTCCTGTGAGTTTACTAAGGAGGTGTCATTTTATATGAGAGCGTGAACTCAATTTCGAGGCCAAACTTCTGTGCACTTCCTTGGGAAGCTAGCATATATGTCTTGTGATAGCATCCATGATGGAGTAATTAAAGAAGTTGGTTTTATGGCAGCTCAGGCGTGCCTTACAATAGATTTTCACACTATGATAAAATTAATTGCATGCTGCTGACAGTATTCCCTTATTTTCATAATCAGGCAGGTACAAGTTTTAGTCTAAGAGTTGCATAAACAAGATAAGGTATGAGTTCTAGGAACACGCTTCTATAAAAATGCAGTAATCAGAGTATTAACACTAACCACTTCGCACACATGGAAGATACTGCATACTTAATTGACAAATCAATTAATGCTGATGCATTTTGAACAACCCACATGAGGATAGAAAGAGTTTTCATAGTGTTTTAAGAGGCATAAGAATAGTGTTTCTGAAAGCAAACGGGATCTCAAACTGTGTATGAAAACCATTAGATGAATCATTTTCTCCTCCCTTTCTCACCTCCATTCTTGCCTTCATTTATTCAACACGACTAGATTTTCAGGGATGCCAAGTGTATTTTAGGACATCATCCTTGCAGCTGCACTGAGCAGGCATCAAAGCAATTGTACAGAAATCCCAGCTTTGCTGTTTTACTCACTGGAGGCATTACTAGCCCACAGGCTCCCACATATCCCTGTCATTCACAGCAGCTGCTGAGGAAGCTTTCCCCACACTCTGAAATAGCTTGAAGTCAGACCTTAATCTTCCCAGCTTTACCTGAATTTTTGCAAGGCGGGGTTCTGCAGGTTGGCAGAGCAGAGCCAAACAGACGCTTCAGAGCCACAGCCCATCCCACTGCTCTCAGTCCAGGGCATCAGGCACCTCCACAGAGACAAGGGCATCCACTCACCAGTCAGGATCCAACTAAGCAGGAACCACATGCAGACAAAAAGGGCAATTGCCTAGGGCTGAGCTTTAAATGGATCCCCTGGGCTGATGGGCAGGGTGTGGTGAGCGTCTCAGGTGGGGCTGGTCAGCTCATCAATGCCCCCAGGACCCTGGCAGCTGCACATGGAGCATGTTTCTCCACACATGTGGTGGATTTAGAGCAATAGGTTTCACATAGCTTATGCTAGATGGGACCAGGATGGATTTGGCCTTTAAACAAAGTCTCACATCAGAGAAGCCTGCAAGCAGAAGCTCCCAGAAGGGA